ACATAATACCAAGCAATGAGGGATCCACCCCCATGACCCAAATACCTCCCACCAGGCCCCATCTCTAATATTGGGGATTACAGTTCAATTTGAGATTTGGTGGGGACGTATATTTAAACCATATGGTACAGTATTTTAATTTTTAATTTAAAGAGTTTTATCTTTTGAAGAGAGTAGTAAAAAAAAAAAATGCAGCCTTTTATATGCCCATTTTTACCATTTTTGGTGATTGTCGTTCTTTCCTTTCCTAGATATGAGTTACCATCTGGTATCCTTTCCCTAAAAGCCAGAAGAACTTCCTTTAGTACCTTTTGTAGTTCAGGTTGGCTGATGATGAAATTTATTAATTTTTGTTTATCTGAAAATGTCTTTATTTTGCATTTATTTTTCAATGATAGTTTTGCTGGATGTAGAATTGTGAGTTAAAAAGGTTTTTTGTTTCTTTTCTTTTAGCATTTTGAAGATACCATTCTGTTGTCTTCTGGCCTTCTTTGTTTCTCATAAGAAGTCATCTGCCATTTATATTGTACTCGTATATATAAAATATCCCTTTTTCTCTGCTCATGAGATTTTTCTCTTTACCTTTGGATTTTAGCAGAGTTAGTATACTGTTTTGTCTCCATCGAACTTCTTGGATTTGTGTGTTAAGCCTTTCAACTAATTTGGGAAGTTTGGGCTATTGTTGTTTTAAATACCTTTTTCTGTATTCTTTTTCTCCTTTCAGTTTGTGACTTAGATAACACAAAGTTGGGACCCTTAATATTGTCTCACAGGTCTTTGAGGCATTGTTCAGTTTTCTTTAATCATTTTCTTATCTCTGATGTTTAGATTTGATAATTTTTATTTATTTATCTTTAAGTTTATTGATTCTTTTTTTACGTCTCTCCAATCTGCTGTTAGGCCTAACTAGCAAATTTTTAATTTCAGTTATTGTATATTTTGCTCCAGAATTTCCCTTTTGATCTTTTATAGACCTTTACAGTTTCTATATCTCTATTGTATAGAAAGTCCCTGTCTATTCTTTATGTGTTTTTTCCTTGTAATTCTTGAGTGTATTTATAACAGCTCCTTTAAAGTCCTTGTCTGGCCCTTGCAACATTTGGATCATCTTGATGTTGGTTTTCATTGACTAATATTATGGATCACTTTTTTCTTATTAATGCATGAGTAGTGATTTTTGATTGGACAGTGGACATTATAAATGGTACATTGCAGAGTCCCTGGATTCTGTTATATTTTTCTAAAACGATTTCTGTCCTAGGAGGCAGTTACCTTGATTAATCTCCAACTCCAAATTTTCTGCCTTGTGACCAGAAGCTGAAATCTGTGCACAATGTGTTTAATTTCTGACTGCTGCTTTTTTTCTGGGTCCTCTGGGATCTCCCCCACATATATGTAGTTTAGCAGTCAGCCAAAGATTTAAGTACATTTTATGCACAGATTTTGGACCTTACTTGGAAATCTCTCCTGTTGCAGTATATCTTTTAAGAGTAGCCTGTCCTCCAGTTTCTGCCTTTTGGTTGCTTTCTACTGCTTTCAAAGGGTGTTATTTTTATGTTTTGTCAAGATTTTATGCTTTTTAGCTATAGGAGGGTTAGTCTAACTTAGACTGTGCTAACCAGAAGTCTTGGTTCTTTTTTATAGTTTCCATTTCTTTGATAAGATTCCTGATCTGTTCATTCATTGTGACCCTATTTTCCTCTTTGTACTTGAGCGTATTTGTAATAGCTGCTTTAAATTCCTTTTAAAGTCTTCTAATTCTAATATCTGGATTTTTCTGTGGGTGTTTTTTCTGCTGACTGATACTTTTCTTGACTATGAGTCACATTTTCTTATTGCTTCTCATGTCTATAGATTTTTCATTTTCTATTTTGTAGAAACTGGATTTTGTTATTTACCTCTAGAGAGTATTGACTTTGTTCTAGAAAGCAGTTCAGATTCTGTTTTTCCTGTAGTAGGCAGCAGCTGAAACAGCTCACTTCTTTCATCCTTAAGTTACTGTTTCTCTATGAACCTCATCATCTCCCCTGTGCATGCATAGTTCAGAGATCAGTCAAGGATTAGGGTAGGATTTAACCATGGATTTTGGAGCTTTCCTTTCTTTGGCTCCCTCTTTCCTTCACAGTAAAACTGTAGCTTTAAAAAATTTATATATGTCTGTATGTATTTATTTCACTAGCTTTAGGGTTACAGGTGGTTTTTGGCAACATGGATGAATTGTATAGTGGTGAAGTCTAGGATATTAGTGTACACATCACTTGAGTAGTGTACATTGAACACCAATAGGTGGTTTTTCATCCATCACCCCTTTCTGACCCTCTCCCCTTCTGAGTCTCCAGTTTCCATTATATGACTGTGTTTGCCTTTGCATACCCATAGCTTAGCTTCCACTTATAAGTGAGAACATGGGGCATTTGGTTTTCCATTCCTGAGTTACTTCACTTACAATAATGGCCTGCAGTTCCATCCAAGTTACTGCAAAAGACATTCTTTTGTTCTTTTTTATGGCTGAGTAATATTCCATAGTATATATATACACCACATTAAATATATATATATGTGTGTGTGTGTGTGTGTGTGTGTATATATATATTTTTTTTCCTTTTTTTGAGATAGCATCTTGCTCTGTTGTCCAGGCTGTAGTGCAGTGGTGCAATCTTGGGTTACTGCAGCCTCAACCTCCTTGGCTCAAGTGATCCTCTCATCTCAGTCTCCCAGGTAGCTGGGACTACAGGCATGTACCACTACACCCAGCTAATTTTGTTTACTTTTTTAGAGACTTGTCTCACTGTGTTGCCCAGACTACAACATTTTCTTCGTTTTCTCATCAGTTGATGGGCACTTAGATTGATTCCATATCTTTGCAATTGTGAATTGTCTTAAAATAAACATATGCATACAGATGTCTTTTTGATATAATAATTTCCTTTCCTTTGGGTTTATACCCAGTAGTGGGATTGCTGGATCGAATGGTAGACCTACTTTTAATTCTTTGAGAATTCTCCATAATGTTTTCCATAGAAGTTGTACTAATTTACATTCCCACCAGCAGTATATAAGTGTTCCCTTTTCACCATTCATGTCAACATCTATGTTTTTTGACTTTTTAATAATGACCATTCTGACTAGGGTAACATGGTATATCATTGTGGTTTTAGCTTGCATTTGTCTGATAATTAGTGATGTTGAATATTTTTTTATATGCTTGTTGACCATTTGTGTATCTTCTTTTGAGAAATGTCTGTTCATATAATTGGCCCACTTTTTAGTGGGATTATTTATTTTTTTCTTCTTATTTGAGTTCCTTGTAGATTCTGATATCAGTCCTTTGTTGGATGCATAGTTTGCAAATATTTTCTCCCATTCTGTGGGTTGTCTCTTTGATGATTATTTCTTTGCTGTGCAGAAGCTTTTTAGTTTAATTAGGTCCCATTTATTTATATTTGTTTTAATTAAATTTGCTTTTGGGGTCTTAGTCATAAATTCTTTGCCTACACCAGTGTCCAGAAGAGTTTTTCCTAGATTTTCTTCTATAATTTTTATGGTTTCAGGTCTTAGATTTAAAATCTTGAGTAGATTTTTGTATAAAGGGAGAGATAAGGATCCAGTTTCATTCTTCTCCATGTAGCTAGCCAGTTTTCCCAGCACCATTTATTGAATAGAGTATCGTTTCCCCAGTGTGTGTTTTGTATGCATTGTCAAAGATCAGTTGGTTGTAAGTATTTGGCTTTATTTCTGGGTTCTCTATTCTGTTGCATTGGTTTGCTTTTATACTATTACCATGCTGTTTTGGTTACCGTAGCCTTGTACTGTAATTCAAAGTTGGGTAATGTGATGCCTCCAGATTTGTTCTTTTAGCTTAGTGTTGCTGTGGCTATTCTGAGTCTTAATTCCGTATGAATTTTAGGATTTTTTTTCCTAATTCTGTGAATAATGAATTGATATTTTGATAAGAATTGCATTAAATCTGTAGATTACTTTGGACAATGTGGTCCTTTTTATGATATTGATTCTTCTAATCCATGAACATGGAATGTATTTACATTTGTTTGTGTCATCTGTGATTTCTTTGGGCAGGGTTTTGTAGTTCTCTTTGTAGAGATCTTTTACCTCCTTGGTTAAGTATAAGCATTTTATTTTTATTTTTTGTAGTTATTGAGTTCTTGAATTGATTCTCATCTTGCTCATGGTTGGTATAAAGCAGTGCTACTAATTTGTATACATTGGTTTTGTAACCCAAGACTTTACTAAATTCATTTATCAAATCTAGGAGTCTTTTCGAGGAGTCTAGGGTTTTCTAGGTATGAGATCATATCATCAGCAAGCAGAGATAGTTTCTTTTTTCTGGTTGGGGTGCCTTCTTTTCTTTCTCATGTCTGAGTGCTCTGGCTAGGACTTCTACCTGTTGCTTTTGCTTGAGGTCTAGCTACCCTGCATAGCCATGTAGAACGGGAAGTACCCTCAGGCCAAAAGCAGCACAAATGCAAAATTTAATCATTTTTTTTTTTCTTGTAAGGGTCTGCTCTTTAGTTTCTCTGGAATGTGATCATTTTCCAGTGCTTACCATGTCCTGCTGTCACTGAATGTCTCACCTCTCCACTCTTTCTGTTTAGTCATGCTATTTAACCTCTCGCAGCATTTCCCCATCTGGAAACATGAGGGTAAATAATACCCATGTCATAGGATTCTTGGGAAGGTAAAATAGGCCAAAGCACATACATATTGTTTGTTTGTGTGTTGGGTACAAGGTGGGGACCTGGCAGATGGTAACTCTTGAGCTTCAGACAAACAGTTATCTGAGTCAAACTGGGGAAATGTTGGGCCTTCTGTTGATCTTATAAGTTGACAAAACTCAAAAGAAGGTGTTTTTTATTTTTCCTTCTTAGGTATGTTGGGAATATTTTGAATATTGGCTTTTGGAATATATCTTTAATGCTATATGTGACTTAAATGCTTTGGCATTTTAAATGATTTGATTTTTTTTTTTTTTTAATTTATAGATAATCTGCAAAATGGCTTCCATGCTGAGTAAGAGTACAGTTGAACGCCTGCTACTGCCCCGATTCTGCGAACTGTGTGGTGATGGGAAGCTTTTTCAAGTTCGGAAGGTAGGAATGTAAGAATTCCAAAACTCTTAAAGTTGAAAGTTCAAAATGGGTTTCTGTAAAGTTTTTGAACTTCTTCAGTAGACATAGTCTGGGGGAAAAATGTGTCCGGTGTGAACTCTGTAAGGAAAATGTCTGAACAGTGTTGCCAGTGTTTACTGCAGTTAGGAAATGCAGAGACCTGGAGATAAGAGTATGTGTGAGTAGACCTGTTCCTCTCAGACACAGGTGAGAGTCAGGGGACCTTGCTCGTTTATGGTTAGATGCCCAGGCTTGCAAGGTCTTTGATTATCTGTGGTGATTTGATCCAGAACCTTCTTATCTTTGCTATACCTTCCAACCCCAAATTCCCATTTAGTCACTTGTCATTTGGTTGTCAAATTCTTCCTTTTGAAGTCTGTTACTATCCCTCCCTAAACAGCCTCATCCTGCACCTTGCTGTCTGGCCATCACCCCTCTGGTCTCTGTTCATGATACACAGGCAGGACAGCAGGTCTCCTTTGCCATGCAGGGAATGTTAAGGGCCTCTTTTGCCTTATTGCTAACATGCCTTCTGTATCAAGATCAATTAGGAGCCAGAAAATCCTAGAATTTGGCACCTTATTGCAAATCTTCTGTTTTTGATGCAGTGGAGGCACCTGGCATAATGCTCTGTGGGCGATGGGCTTGGGAAAGGCTTGATAGCTGCCTGACTAGAGGGGTAATTGCTCTCAAGGTTCCTGCTTGTTAGTTTTTACTTCGTTTTTACTTTGTTTTTTGTTAAGACAAAAAGAAAGATAAGAATAATGGATATGCCTTTTGCCTTTTTAAGGTTTGTGCTGCAAATTTTGGTGATATTTGTCATGCTGTTGGACAAGAAGCCACTGAGAAATTTTTGGTATGTGACATTTTGGCCAATTGTAATTGTTGATTTGCTTCTTAATGCACTTTCAAAATCACTTAGGTTTTGTATTTATGAGTCTGTTACTGTGGAATGGCAGCTCAATTTTGCATTTGTTAATTTCAAATTTCATGACTTATAAAGCTAACATTTTCCTAAGCATTAGGTAGCTGGTCTGTGGAATGGGCTGGAAGCAACTCCCATCTTCTTTCCTGTGGGCTTGGCTGTCTCCTCCTTATAGGTCACTTTTCCCTGCTTTATTCTCACTGTCCAAGCTGCTCTCTCTCTTCTCTCTCTCCGCAGCTCTTTCTAGAACACCACTCTGCCACCTCACTCCTGGGCCTCAAAACCATGGTGATTTTTTTCTTGGTTTATAGGTTAAAATCTAGAGCCTTCTGGGCCTTCCAGGTCCCTTCGTAGATGACTTTTCCGCCTCACCTCCAGTCCCCTTTCTCAGTTCTGAACACTACCCTGGCCTTGGTGGATCTCACCTCTAGCCATATATATGAAGCCTGGGGAGGGCCCAGGCAGCTGCATTTTTGATAAAGTCCCGTATGATCTGATGCATAGCAGGGTAGAGATCCACTTCCCTAAGCAGCCAGGTGACTTCAGCATCCTTGAGGCTTCTTGCTCTTTCACACCTCTGGACCTGTGCTCACTAAGAGCATCTTCCCTGCCTGGTGGGACCCTCCTCACACTTCCAACCCAGCTTGAGTTGCTTCTGTGAAGTTCTTTCGTTGTCTAGGCTGACCTACCTGCGGTGCCAGAGAGAAGCAGCTTCTCCCTTCTCAGCATCCTGGTGACATTTGTTCAGAGGAGCTGAGGAGCTTCTTGAGGGCAGGGACTGCATTGTGTTCATCCTTGTTTCCCTAGTGCCTACCCCGTCAATCCCCAGCCCCTAGAGAACCTTGCTCTGTAAGCATTTGTCACTTTTATTTGACAGAATATACTCCTTGTATGGGTGAGATTTTGACCTCAAAAAGTTTAATCTTTAAATTGATTTTTAAATTTAAGTTCAGAAGCTCATTTTATTTTATTTAAAGTATAAGCCACGTCAACACAGTTCTAACCCAAGAATAATTTTTAATGGGCTGTTGCTTTGAATATATAGTGATTTTTTTTTTTTTTTCTTTTTAAATTTTGAGACACTGTCTTGCTCTGTCGCCTAGGCTAGAATGCAGTGGAATGATCTCGGCTCACTGCAACCTCTGCCTGCCGGGTTCAAGCTAAGGCTGGATCCTGCCTTCGTCTCCTGAGTAGCTGGGATTACAGGCATGCACCACCGCGCCCGGCTAATTTTTGTATTTTTAGTAGAGACAGGGTTTCACCATGTTGGCCAGGCTGGTCTCGAACTCCTGACCTGGGGATCTACCCGCCTTGGCTTCCCAAAGTGCTGGGATTACAGGCGTGAGCCACCACGCCCGTCTACAGTGAACATTATCTTCTACTTAATATATCTGAATGAAGAATGGAAGAATGGCAGTGGGTAACATGCTAATCATTTGTAGGTAGATATTGCCATGATTATATCATATTCCCATTTGCGAAGCATTTTAGGCTATTTTACATTAGGATATTAAAAACACAGCCTTTTTAAAGGATACATTTTAAAAGGAGATGTAATCATGACCTTTACAGAGATATGAAATGAACATGTTTCAGAGATTTTATTTAACTCATTTATTAGTGAGGAAAACCAGTAAGATATTACAGCCAGTTTAATGGAGAACTCAAAGTACTCATTTATAGTCAGAGCAAGGAATACCATAGTGAACTTACAAATGAATTCAAAACTGGTCAATATCCAGGGTGATAATTGATTGCATTTCACTGGACAACAATTTGCATTTCTGTTGGCAGGAATTATTTGCATTACTATCAGGTTTTAGCAACTTACCTTCTATCACTTCAGAGTTGTAAAATAGTGAGTCGAAGACAGTGATACCTGGATGGGTGAGTTAGTTGGGACATCTACTGTTTCAGAGTCTTTCACAATCTTCTCTACAATTTACATAACAAGTATCAGTCATTCTGCCCTTTTTGGGGTTTTCTCTATTATCTGTTAAAGGTAACCAAGTCATTTACTAAAATTAGGAGGTAAAAGAAATGTTAATTTCCATTTCTTATAATATCTGTTTGTTTCAAATGATTCCTTTTAGACCAGTATGTATTTTCCTTTTCCTTGTCATTAATTTCTGCATATGCCTTCACTACTTCATTAAAATAGGTTCCAGCACTTTGGGAGGCCGAGGCGGGCAGGTCACTTGAGGCCAGGAGTTGGAGACCAGCCTGGCCAACGTGGAGAAACCCCATCTCTACTAAACATAAAAAAAATTAGCCGGATGTGGTGGCACATGCCTGTAATCCCAGCTACTTTGGAGGCTGAGGCAGGAGAATCGCTTGAACCTGGGAGGCAGAGGTTGCAGTGAGCCGAGATCACACCACTGCACTCCAGCCTGGGCGACAGAGCGAGACTCTGTTTCACAAAAACAAACAAACAAACAAACAAACAACCCAAACAGGTTCTGCTCTTCCTCAGGGCCTCCAATTGGAGTAGCACTCTTTTTGTTTGTTTTGGCAGATCCCAAAGTTCTTTGAGCTCTGCTCTGATGCTGTTTGGGGCATGCGGAAAGCCTGTGTGGAGTGCTTCACGGCTGTGTCACACAGCTCCTCCCCTGGGGTCCGCAGAACCCAGCTCTCCCCGCTCTTCATCAGACTTGTCAGCGACCCCTGCCGATGGGTGAGTGCCAGCAGCCCTGTCCAGACAACTGGCCTGTGTTGACCAACTGCCCAGCTACGTCTGGCTTCCAGGCTGGGATTCACTTCTGGACTCGTGACTTTGTATTTTGTCCCTTCAGTTACTGATTGCCATAATCACATTTACACTGTGTGAGGTCTCAGGGAAACTAAAATCTCAAAAACTTGGGGTGAATTAAGAAGGTGAGGTATATCATACCATTTATAGTGAATGAATATCGTGAAAATCATAATTGAGAAAGAAAAAACTATGTAACTAAACTGTTACCTTTTCTGTTGCTATCATAAACATGTCTGTAATGATTAATAAGGCCTGCTCAAATACTTGATACAAAATGTATTATTCATATAAAATTAATATTCTGGAAGAATGAATACAGTATAATGGGGCTAAATTTTTCCTTACTTTCTGTTGAATAATAGTATTTGGAATTTAGGGAATGATTTGGAAAGCAGTAAATCTCCAGAGATGTAATGTGAAAGCAGTAAATCTTCATAGATGTAATGTGAAAGCAGTAAATGTCCATATATGTAATGTGAAAGCAGTAAATGTCCATAGATGTAATGTGCTGGAGAGTAGCTTGTGTGATGTCCAACCACGTGTTTCAGCCTGGACTCAGGCCTGGCCACCACCACTGGCTGATGCTGCATTCATTCACTGCAGTGTTCTCTCTGGTTCCAGGTGCGCCAGGCTGCCTTCCAGTCTCTCGGCCCCTTCATTTCCACCTTTGCAAACCCTTCCAGGGCTGGCCTTTATCTTCGAGAGGATGGCGCCCTGAACATCCGGCCTCTCACCCAGGATTTCGACTCTGGTTTTGCCTCTGGCTCACCCGCTCCCAGCAGTGGTGGTAACACTTCCCCTGCCAGGTATGCTTTGGCTAGGGTCACCACCAGGACCCTCGATGTACCTTAAGCACCCACCTAAAATTTCATCAATTATCTTGTCTCGAGTTTTAGTAGTGACCTTCTGGGCAAGATGGAATATTAGAGCTTTAATTATGTAAAGAAGCAAAAAGTAATTGCAATAATGATTTTGAAACATGACTACTGGGTTATAAATAATGAAGCTATTGTGTCTCCTAAATTTAGATAAAATACGCATTGAGATTAGTGATTAAAAAACCTATAAAGAAAATTTTCTCTTTTTGATTAATTAAGTTGTCTGGGTAATTTACCTAGGGAAAAATGTGAAGTCTTCCAAATGTACTTTTTTGGAAGTTAGGTTGCATGTACATAAAGGTGACACTCCTGACCAACAGTGGTAGACCCTCCAGTGTTTGCTAGTATGGCGCTGGATCTTGACTTTGTCATGTCTTTCCTCTGAGGCTGACGTGTATACACTAACCATCCTCTTTGAGGTTGTTTGTAAACGTCTCTCCATTGTTGCTAGCATGCAGGTGTGTGAGAGTGGGTAACTGATGCCTCACAGAATACAAATCCTTCTGAGGTTGGCCCATCCTCCCTTTATCCCTCTTCTATCAGAGTTCATTGAGCTCCTGCTGTATGGCAGGCCCATGGGCAGTGTCTTCCTCAAGACCTCAAGGTGGTTAACAAATTGCCAGCTCTTACCAGTTTCAGCGCCTTTTATTTTCTAATGCCTGCCCCCTGGTGGAAGTACTCATGAGCAGGAAATGGATGAAATGTACCAAAGGTGCTGCATCAGAAGTCCAGGCTGGCTTAGCCCTGGAATGTAGTGGCAAGACTGGCTGAACCTTCAGGTGGTGTTTTCGGTGCCCATCATACTCCCGGCGGGGCAGTGGGAGTTGACTAAACCTCTTATCCTTTCGTGAGATTTTAGTCTGCTGACACCAGGAGACACAAAGAGGGGCAAGTGGTCAGCTAGGAAGTGGAGGACTGGGTGAGGATGTGGTTCTCATGTTTTTTCCTTTGACTTTCAGTCTATTACACTGTATTAAAAGTTTGCTTCCTTCAGTTTAACTAGTTCAGCAAAGCCTGTGCAGAGGGAGCCAGAGCTACCCGTGGAAGGGACCTCAGCGAAAACCAGCAATGTCCCGCACATCGGTAGCTCCTCTGACGGCCCAGTGGAAAACCCTGTGGAAAGCTCTGTGTCGGCTGGAGCTGAGCTGAGCAGGCTTTCCCCAGAGACCAGCGCCTTCTCAAAGCTTTCTGACAATAACGACTTCCCCATCAGCAGCTACCCTGGATCAGATTCCTGGGCCTGCCCAGGGAACTCTGAGGATGTGTTTAGTCATTTTCTTTATTGGCGAACTCCTCTCCCTGACATAAGCAAGGACTTAGAGCTACTTCTGAGCGAGGCTGGGCCTCAGGAGGATGACTGCAGTAGACCTGGGGTTGTGCACAACAACTATGTGGCCCGGAGTGAGATTCAGAAAGTCCTTGATAGTTTGCAGGAGCATCTGATGAATGATCCGGATGTTCAAGGTAAATGTTGTTCATTGTCATTAAAGAGAAGATGGGATGTTTCTGTGTCATGTGTTGCATTTCGCCACTTCCTTCTTCCCCAGGCCTGCGTACTGACGCATGTGTGTGTGGACCTGTATTTATTTACACTGTGTACACATGGAGAGGAGAGACTTGTTTCAGTCTCAGTACAGCTTGAAAAGTCAGAAATGCCTCCGTGCAGGCACCTATGCAATGATTTTGCTTTCTAATTTTGCAGATGGACGTGCACAGAGTCTGAAGTCAGTTCTAATAGGAAAGTGGGTAGTTTGTGGGCATATCTGTAGCAGGGGAAATTTTGTTAGCTCCTTAGACGCGCTGTTACATCATCTCCCACATAGAATGCCCTTTCTAGTTATGAATAGCCAAGGATGGCCTCCTTTTGGAGCCTATTAATGCAGCCCTTAGCTAAACTTAAAGGTTCTTGTCTTTGTACAGGAAGGAAAAGCACAACTACTTCTGTGGTGTATTTTTCATTTTATGACTCGTGCTCCCACTGAGCATCTGATCAGGGATCCGGACCTCGCAATCCATATCCCATTATTGTGATCTTCCTTCTCTGCACAGTGCTATATTTGTATTCTTCCTTGAGTTGGAGAAATTGGAAAAAACAGCACTTACTGCTGTTGCTGGGCAGAGATTTGTGAAGCTTTCAGGAAGGGAACTGTGAAAATTCAGTTAGCCGTGTGATTATTCTTTATCCTTAAATTTATGAAGGAAACTAAATCAATGTTTGCTGAAGGAATGGGCACATGTAACATATCACTTCTGATAGCTATAGACAAAAGTCTGTTTTTGGAAAACACACTACTGAGCTGCCTTAATCTCCAGTGTAAGACCTGGTCTGGGGGCTGGGCAGTGATGATCGGCCCCTGAGGCCCCTGTGATGTGGTTAAGGGGATTGTGCAGGCAGCCACCCTGTGGGGCATGGCGAGGGCTGGGAGCGGAGGGGATGTGATGTGTAGAGGAAATGTCTGGGAGAGACCTCACATAGCAGGTGACAGTTGGCCTGGTCTTTAGAGATTGACTGAGAACCCACCATTCAGAGAAGTCAGGGGATGAGTTTCAGAGGGTTCTTTCAGTTCCCTGAAATCATTATTTGTAAAATCTTGCATGTTTGTGCATACTTAATTTCTTTGTAAGAAAAGGCCCATAGCTTTCTTCAGAGCTCAAAGGGATCTATGATCCCAGAAGATCCAGAAATAAGTGATGCATTTTATTTGTGAACTGGCCATGGCAGGCAGGAGATGTCACTAGACCTATTGGGAAGGGCCTGGTGTGTAGCACTGGAGTGGTGGAACCTGTCCTGGGCACAGCACAGAGCCAGCTACAAGCTCTCAGTGTTTTGATGAATCTTGGAGTCCACCAAATTTAACTAATAGAAGCAGGATGCAGGAAGTAATGTGTGTGTGTGTGTCTTTTGGGAGGCTAGGGACATTAAAACATCCAGTTTGTTTTTACAGAAAGGTATGTGAAATATGTTATCTTTACTGTTCAGAGAATCTCAAACTGTCATACTCTGGACAGAAAGAATCGGCAGCCTTTGGGGCTTGGTGAGTGAGAGCATTACTCATCTGTGTGTAAATGGATGTATTCATGCATGGGTGTGTGTGTCCACATGTGTGTATGTGTATGTGAGAGAGTAGCCATACTGCTTTATAAATGGGGGAGCAGGATACCCTTCACTGAGTTGAGCGACCTCCCAGTCATCCTTGTTCAGTGATACCATGCTGTCTTTCTCTAAAATGTGGTGGAGTCACTCGGGTTTTTCCGAATTGAGACTTTTCAAGTTCAGGTTTGATGTTCTGTGCGTGGCTGGCATTTAGTTGGAGTAGTTATTATTAATGGCCGGAAATATCACCACCTTGCTGAGAGCTTGTCTTGAGACTGCAGAGCATTGTCACTTCAGAACAGATACGTGTCAGTGTAGTACACCCACACCATGTAGCTTAGTGCAGATTGTGTTGTTTTGAAGACTTCTCTGAAGTAAAACCCCACAAACCAAATAAAGTTGTTAAATTTCTTGAAACTTCTCTTCCTACAGCTCAAGTTCAGGTATTATCAGCTGCACTGAGAGCTGCACAGCTTGACTCCGTGAATGAACCCGAGAGCCAGCCAACAGCAGGTCTAAATGAAGTGTCCATTTCAGATCCCAGCTCTGCCTCTGACAATCAGATCACTCTGTCGGCCTCATCATCTCAGAATGAGCTCTTTGTGGCCAGGATATTACAAAGCACAGTAAGTATTTGCCCTATCCCTCAGCCACCGAGGATGTGACAGAAATCACAAAGCAGCATTTTCTCTTATTAATATATCCCAGCAGAGATGATAAATGGCAAATTTCATTTTATTCTTAAGGTCATGCTTTGGATAACTAGTCAACCAATCAATCAGGTGATTGATAGTGCCGACGTGCTCCCATGAAGATGAGTGGGTACCAGAAAGTACCTTCCCTCTTCTTCAGAGATGACAAGAACTTGTTCTTTGGGGAGATCAACCATATAAATGCTCTGTGTCACTGCTAACAGACATTGACATCTTTTAATAATAGTGGAGGGTGAATTCAGGCAGTTCCTGGAATTTCAAGTGGACGAGGCCTCTGAGAGCAGCCGTCACACAAGCCCCCCGTTTGGTAGGCGCTCTGGCATACATGGGTGCTCCAGTGCTGGTCCTGGCACGCTGTTTCTCAGAGGAGAGCTTTTGAAAAAGCACCAGTGACCCCTTTCCTCCTGTGGGTGGAACCAGCCCCTTGTGAGACCACGACCCCAAAGCTGGAGTGAGGGGGGACCCATGGTTTATTTCTTCAGGTTTCTCCAGAAGCTTTGGTCAGCCTCTTGTAGCTGGAGGTTCCTGAGCTGTCCTAGTTTCTACTGAGCTTCCACTCAGACCGCTTTGAGTTGGGCTCTTCCACAGGTAGGGGGCAGAATGGAGGGTTAAAATGAGGGAGGGGGTCTGTGGTCATAACAGTCATTGGGATAGCACTGTGTGGTTATCATGTGCTGTGATGGATAATCTCCTCAATCTCACGGTCTTCAGGGCCTAAATACCAATTGTTTCTCTGTTCATACAGTTTATAATTGGATTTCAGTGATTTAACTTATCACTCCCCTTACCCCTTAGGCCTGCTCTAATAAAGCAAAATAAAACATTTAAAAACTCAAACATAAAATGTGTAGGGGTTGGTTATCTGTGATTAGTAAGAAATGAGGTGATATCCTCTTCTGCTGGTTTGTTGCTAAAAAAATAGCAAGAGAACTCATTATTGTCAACCTTGTTACCTAGAGTGCAGAAGTTGCAGGTGTTAAGTAGAAGGATGTGACCACATTTACCTTGGTGGGGATGTGATAGTATTTGGACTTCTTTATCATAGACAGAGGTGGGGGAAAAAAAAAAAAAAAAAAAGAACAGATTCCCCCAGGCTGGGGCTTTTCAGTTGCTGCTTTAAAAGGGTTCAAGTTGGGGCCTTTGTTCTATGATGTGGGAGGGCAGAGCCCTTGAATTTGCGGCTTGACTCCAGGGTCCTAGTGGGATTAGTTAGGATGCTTCCTGTCGCAAAAGAAGGGAAAGGAGACAAAAATCTCCAAGAACCGTGAGGAATATGTTCTCTTGCACAAGACAACAGGAAGAAGCGCTGTGGTTGGGTGGCTTCTGGGCAGGTGGACTCCATCCCTTTGGTGCTGATCTGCCCACCATTCCCCTCAGCCATGGTGGCTCTTGTCAGCATGAAATGCCTGGTGGAAGGCGGGGCCTGTGTCTTCCCACTTGTCTCTTTTGAAGAACAAGGACACCCCAGGCGGGGAACCACCTTCCTGTCCTCTCCTTCTGCCTCCCTCTTGCTGGCCACAGTCACAGCATGCATTCATGGGTTGAACATGGTGAACCGCACAGAAACACGGGAGCCCCCGAACGGAGTCGGCATCCTGCTAGAAAGAAGGCTGCTGGGTGCTGAGTGGTGGGTGCACAGATAGCCAGCCAGCATGGTGTCCCACTGGGGTTTGGGGAATGAACTCACAATACCTTCTGGGGGTGCCATGACTTGTGGTGATTTGCTTAAGCCTTGATTTGGCTCCTGGAGTAAGTGCTGCACATACGCTTGCACTGAAGACTTTGGAGTAAAATTAATTTCTAAAGGGATAATAGTGATTCTAATGACACATCTTGTTACTATATGTGAATTTATTAACTTGGAGAAATTGAGGTCTTAGGTTTTTATACCAAAATATATCTGTTTTATTATGTCCTCTGTTAAAATAAACAGTACCTATCAGTGGAAACCTTGGGAATTGAAGGTTCTGGTAGTGCGCCTCAGAGCAAACGAAGCATCTATCGGTGTGTTAATCAACTTTCCTGGATCCTATATTGAGCTGATTTGTCAGACTCCGTTCAGCTGGTAGACAGTATGACATTTCAAATGCAAGTTGGAAATCCATGTTATGGTTGAAGGAGAAGGTCAGGTCCATCTCAGTTAATGTTAATCAATGATCAGAGACCAATATGTCACCATTGAATGTCCTTGTTCATTTTAATTGTTAACCTAATGTAAAGGTTTATCAGCAAACATTAGGAGTGTTTGTACATGTGAAAATCTAGGACAATTTTCTGAGTAAATACTCCTATATCAGCCACATCTTTTCTCTCAGATCCATTGGGTTTCCCAGCCCCCATCCTCTTTTGGGGACCCACCATTGCTGCAATCCCTAATTACCGAGAAATGTTGGAGGTGCTGGCTCTATCATTTCTTGCAAACCTCACCCTTCTGGAGTAGTCTGTGCCTCAAACACGTGAATGTTACTTAAAGGTCTTGGTTAGCCATACCAGGAGTCCCTAGGGCATAAGGAATAGTGGATGCAAACTCACAGGGTTGCTCCTCACTGCTTTCACTTTAGCCTTTGTATTTCTGTAAGGACCTCCAGCAGTCTTGTATTAAAATGTATGAAATCAATTTTCCTTAGCACTTAAAAGAACTGGTTTATACAGTATCATATGTAACTGTGCAAATGTAATTTTTAACATCTGGAAAGATACCATTGACTTCAAGGAAAGCTTTTGCCTTGGCTTACAGAAGTAATTTCTGGCATTGAAAAAGGACTCTTTGAAGGGGAAGTGACAGGACAGCTGCTTCCTTTGGAGCAAATTGGTAACATGTCCAATCAACTCTGTAGGATCCTGGTGAACCCAGAAATGGAACCAGTGACCATCTGGAGACTGACCAGAGGCAGGATCCCACCCTACTTGAAGAGAATAAATCTAAATTACAGGTTTGTTTCTTGAAAACAAAAACAACAACAACAAAAAAACTCAAAACTGTATATTTTCTTAAAGTTAACTTCAAGACTTGGAACCAAATATTTTTTTCTTCCATCAATATTGATTACATATTTTAATTTGTATTTTGTGTTGCTAATATAACTGTAAAAAATTAATTGTAAGGTAGTGTTTAAGCTTCTGAACAATCTATAATAGTGTTTTTGATAAAGCAAACTAATATGAGAAAAAAAGGACATCTAACACTGATTTGATTGAGTTCTATCTCAATCAAACAGACTCAAACATAGGCTTGATTATCAGAGTATAAGGTCTCAGGTGCTATGTTCTTGGGGCAGTTGTAAGAAAAGAGAAGCCAGTCTCCATTCTCAAGAGCTGTGTGTACCAGCCTAAGCAGACATTGCTGTCTAGACTGTCCTCTATGATATCAAATATTGTGCCAATCTTAAAAAGATGAGTTCTGGGTGTTGCTTTCACTTCAATCAAAATTGAAAACCCACTCTCTGGAGAAAACAGAGTTGGCAATCTGAAGCCCTTTGACTTTAGGAAGGCCTCCTGTTCCTCTCACATTTCTCCTTTATTGTTTTCACCTCTAAACTCCAAACTCCGTGTTTTTCATGAGTATTTTCCTGCACGCACGATGGCCTCCTTTCTCTCTCATTTCCCAGGATATAATACCTCAGCCGCTGCTAGATCAGTATGTGTCCATGACTGACCCAGCTCGAGCCCAGACTGTTGATACTGACATAGCCAAACACTGTGCCTACAGCCTCCCAGGGGTGGCGCTGACCCTGGGCAGGCAAAATTGGCACTGCCTGAAAGATACATACGAAACACTGGCTTCTGACGTACAGGTAAAAGCCTTTTCAGAGGCATGTGCAGAAAGAGGGTGGGTCATTCATTAAGGAGAAAAGGGAAGCTGCAGCGAGGCTTATTGACCTGAATTTTATGTGGATGCAAACTGGCATATTTACTGGTCTCTGTTCGAAATAAAGCTTTAAGTGTCCAACACCTGGCAGTATTCATTTTGCTCCAAAAATGCCACGTAAGATATGGAAGAGGTTGAATTGCACTTGCTTGTCGTGATTCGTGTGTCTGCTATGCACCCCTAGTGGAAGGTACGGCGAACCCTAGCCTTCTCCATTCACGAGCTGGCTGTGATTCTTGGGGATCAGTTAACAGCAGCTGACCTGGTGCCTATCTTCAATGGATTTTTAAAGGATCTGGATGAAGTGCGAATAGGAGTTCTTAAACACCTGTATGATTTTCTAAAGGTAGGAAGAAGAGTTAAAAGCAAAAAACAAGCCTCCCTCTCCGAATCAAATTTGTGAAACCCTGGATGGATATGGTGTCAGTGAAAAAAAAAAAAAACAATGCGGTTGTTTAGCTTTCTTTAGCTGAAATGTACCATCCATAACCTTTAAGTGGGAGTTCTTTCAGTGATGGGTAAATATTTTAAACTTTTTTCTCCTAATTTTCCTGTCCATTAGAGTTTTAATTCTGTGGAAGATGGTAGACACAAAGCCTAGCACACTTTTTGCAAAAGAAGAAACCAAGGCCCCCGGGTAGTGACCTGACTTGCCCAGAAGTCACCCAGGGGAAGAGCCTGGGCTGAAGTCCAACCTCTGTTCTGCATGAAGCACTTTTTCTGCATGGCGCTTCTGCTTCCCTTCTGGCTTTTTTCCACCCCCTAAAGGAATGATGAATATAAAAATAAGAGTTTAAAAATGACCTAGAGAAACTAATTACTCTCATCCACATGACCAAGAGCTGCCCTTCACGGACTCTGGTGTGCGCTGCTCCAGCCGAGTCTCTCCTCTCCTGGTGCAGAGCAGCAGCCTCGCTCCCTGGGAAGCGGCACTGGCGTGCTGTCTTCCAAACACGCACAGACTGGGCTTTTGTTTGTTTGTTTTTAGGTAGGAAATTACTAAAGCAGGAAGACCTCAGGGGCATTCAGAAATACATAATAAGCACATGTCCTGGCCAGGGGAAAAGGTTGGAGGCATTCAGGGATGCATTTGATGTCAGTATACAGCAGCGTTCATTCACAGCCATGCTGGGTGATAGACTACGAGGTGTAGGGGAAATGCAAAAGTTCTTACCAGTGACAAATATCTAATCGGAAGTGGAATAAAAGGGGGCATTTGGGGTCATTTTGAAGGATTATACATGTTTGTTTATATATACATTTTTAAAAAATAGTTGCTTCATGAAGACAAGAGGAGAGACTATCTTTATCAGCTTCAAGAATTTGTAGTGACTGATAACAGCAGGAATTGGAGGTTTCGATATGAACTAGCAGAGTAAGTAAAAATATATTTGGGGTATGAGAAGGCAAACTAGATGGAATAAATCTTCATTTTCTTACCATATAATTGATTTCTAAAGCAGCAGCAGTAATAGTGTTCTTTTAGATAAAGAGATTATGTTTTTATTAAGGTATAAACAGAATTCCAAAAACCCGAAGTTACAAATACCACAATCTCCGGGGAGATATTCATTTTCAGATGAAGACAGGGCTTGAGTCACTTTCGAATTAGAGTGTTCTGCTGTTCTAGAAGGCAATTTATTTGAACCAAATAAAAGATGAATCACCCACTCTTCAATATTTTCCTATTAATCGGAGCAGTTTTTGCCAGAGCTTTCTTGAACATTCTGAGTGTCGTCCTCTCCGCAGGGTACAGCATGCCTAATGCCCTTTAGCTACTGTGGGAGACAGGAAGGGGTCTAACCCAGATGAGATGATTACGAAATAAAAAGGTCCCCCAAGGTGGCTCCTATCTGCACATCATTTTGTGCCTGAAGGAGTTATTTAATTCTGTCTTGAGCTGGCAAAAGGAATATTCCAGGCTTTAGTGATGATGAAAGGGTAGAAGCATCAGTTTAAATAACTCCCCTTCCTAAGGTATCTAATGTGCCTTTCATGGTGTGGGGGAATTTGTTTGTGGCAGTTGTTGTTTGGGTTTTAGTTTTTACCTTGTTTTCATTTCAGGGTCTTTAATTTTCATTTTTCTCATCCACAACTAGAAATCTCTCAAATAATTGTCTTCCCCGAATAAATTCATCAGACTTTTGCAGCTATTCAGGATATGATTTGGCTGATGCCAGGGGCAAACCGAAAGCCTTTCTCTTTGCTGTGGTCTTTAATCATTCTGCTTAATTTGAGAGATTGAGGTTTCAGTCATTGTACCATGTTCCCAGCATCCTGTTCTGAGTCGAGAAAAACAGGCCCACGTTTTCCATGAAAGCAGTGCGACCTCTAGCGGCGGCGCACGGGAAGTGGGCGTGCTCGGTGCCCAGAGGGGCTGCCCCGGGAGGTAGCGCGGCCCCAATGCCCGACCACGTTATCTTGCCCCGCTACGCGCCGTATCTCCCATCTCCCATCTCCCGGCTTATTGAAGGCACAGCGACTGATATGAATTCTGTGCTCCCGTGCCCATGATATTGGTATCATTTTTTTGAAAACAGTGTTTTTTGATATGAAAGTATTCACTAGCACTCCTGGCTTCTGGTTCTAACTTCCTCCCCATCTCTTTTTCATTTCCTTTCGTTGCCTGGGTGAAAACAATGCCATTTATTTTCATGTCCTTCTCCCCATCCCCATTTAGAAAGTAGTGAAAGCTTTGGTAGTGGGTTTTCGCAGCCAGCCGTCTCCTGCATGCTTTTGTCTTTTGGAGTAAGGAGCACGCGCTCCCAGTTCTCTCCAAGCGGACCGGACCTCGCTGCAGTGAAACCGCCTCGTGCTGCCAAGAGCTGCGAGCAGGAGCATCCGGTTCGGTTTGCAGTTGGAGAAACGCTGGGGCGGTCGTGCAATCTCAGAGTGTTCGCTTGATCTGTTGACCTTTGTGAACTTCAACATTCTGGCTATTTTTATGTTATCTGATTTTTAAAGTTTTATGTGCTTTTCAACTGATAACCTAAAATTGAAATATTAAATCTGTATCCATAAATTTCTCAGCCTCTGTTTTACGGAGTTTGTTTCCTTTTGTTTGATTTGTATGTGTGTGAGATGAAGAATTAAACTTTTGTTCACATTTTTTTGCATGGTCATTTTGCTCAGCTTGCTGCTGTTGGCATTTTACTGAAGACCGAAATCTTGCTGGGTCTTTTGCTGTTCATTTCCCAGCCTGGGTATTTTTATCTATAAGATGAAATGACAGTAAAAAGAAATCAGTAAGTTTGTTGTTGTTGTTGTTTTTGCCCCAAAATAATGTTTTGTTTGTTTGTTTTTGTTTTTTTCCTTTTAATTTCAGACAGCTGATACTGATTCTAGAACTCTATAGTCCCAGTGATGTTTATGATTACCTAATGCACATTGCCTTAAAGTTGTGTGCAGATCAAGTTTCTGAAGTTCGGTGGATCTCCTTCAAACTAGTAAGGAATCAGGGCATTTGCTCTGTGATGTTTACCAATAGGAATGTTGATGTATCTTCCATTTTAACTCTTAATTTTTCTGGGCTTAATTTGTCATCTTACCCATGAAACTAGCTTTTAAAATTTGAAATTAGGAACTTTATTATAGTTTTATCAATTTGTAAGATAGATTTTTTGTTGTTATGTTTCAGTGACGGAAATTGTGGAGTAATCCTTTTATATATGAAACCCTTTAAGCAGTAGGTTAGTGTTTTTAAAATACAGGTTGATTTACAGCTTGGTTTTGTAGAAAAATATTCAGTGAGCAAAGGCTCTGCTATAGAAAAGCTGCTGCTGTTTTTTATGTGGGCTTTATACCAGCTGCATGCTGATGAAAAAATCACATTGGACAATATTGATTTTAAGATACTCGGATGGTATTAAAATTTTATAAAAATGGCATGTTCTGAAAGGTAATGATTTAGTTATTAAGCAAGGGGACATGCTCTAAAATTTGGAACCTTAAGATTAGTAACATATTTTTCTAATGTCAGTCTCCTTTTAAATTTCATTTTTATGAAGGGTTTTATGTGTGTGTGTATTGCCATATATTTAAACATCTTTTTTCTCTGTGTTCTAATGATGACCGTGACAAAAATTACTTTCTCCTGTGCTTATAAATTCATTTTAAAAGTGGAAGGGTGCATAAAAATGTCTAGTTTCCATGTAGAGTAGTATTCATAATTCAAATAGATGGCAGCATTTTAAATGTGCTCTTCTGATATTTTTCACAGGTTGTGGCAATTCTGCAGAAGTTCTATTCCAACAGTGAAAGTGCGTTGGGGTTAAATTTCATCAATGAACTCATCATAAGGTTCCGGCACTGTTCTAAGTGGGTTGGAAGGCAAGCTTTCGCTTTCATTTGTCAGGTTAGCAAGACCTGGGGAGGGATCCACCCTGGGTATACATCTGCCATGTGATGAAAGCAAGTTCACCAGACAGAGAATCTCAGCCCTGGAACACTAGCCAGGAACTGAGGAATTAGTTCACCTAGCCCTCTTATCTCACAGGACATGGGGACCAACCCAGTGTGGTGAAGGGACTTGCCCAGGGTTACCCCACTGGCCTACTCATTTGCCACATAGCTATTGATTGAGTACCTGCCATGGTCCAAACAGATTCTAGATGCTAAAGACACAGTGGACAAGCTTCTGCTCTCCTACACTTCCATCCAGTAAGGTAAGGGCCAGGCCCACAGTCCACTCCTGCCCTATCCAGGTCTGTGTCCACCACTACGCCTCACCTTAGCCAGTGGCCTTGGAAGGAAGGTGGGATGAAGAATTGGGCAGTGGGTTAGGACACAGACTTTAACCTCTTTAGAGTAAATGTGTAGAGTTCGTATCATCCTGTCCAGCTCCTCAGATCACCCTCTCTACTCAGCCTCTTGGAAATGAGGGTGTGATTTATGTTTGCCTAGGGGCAATGGCAGTGATAATGGCTGCCATTTCTTGAATACCTCTTGTGTGTCAGGCATCACATCACACATTTAATTCTCTAATAAAAGGTAATGTGTCGTGGCGGGCACCTTTAATCCCAGCTACTTGGGAGGCTGAGGCAGGAGAATCGCTTGAACTCAGGAGGAGGAGGTTGCAGTGAGCTGAGATTGCAGCATTGCACTCCAGCCTGGGCAAAAGAGTGGGACTCCATCTCAGGAAAAAAAAAAAAAAAGAGATAATGTGTATTGAGCATGGCATACCCATTTACCTTTAGACCAGCTCTTTTAGGTGAAACATTTGAAGCCCAGAGAGGTTAGGTCACTTGTTCAAGATCACACAGGAAGTGTAAGCCCATGATTTTTTTTTTTCTGCTAAAGTATTGTTTTTAACATTTTAACTTTTCATTACTCATGTTTTCAAGCATATACAAAGGTAGAGGGATTGGTGTAATGAACCTCTGTGAACTCGCCACCCAGCTTTGTTGATAGTACAGTAAAGCCATGGTTGGGACCGTACCTGACCCCAGACCACAAAGCCCCCCTTTTTCTCCCTGATGACCACGGGCACCAGAGGACTCACCAGCACCCCCTGTTGAACCAGTGGGACATTACAGGGGTGCTTTGGCCTCCCACTCTGAGAAAGGGCAGTGGATGGCGGAGTGACTAACAAACTCACAAACCACAGGCTTCACGGCACAGACTTTTGTGAAGGAAGAGTCAGTGTTCCAAGTCAATTTGCGGAGAAAGCTTAATGGAGATATTTTTTGCTTTTATTTTTAAATTCTTTATCTGAGATTTAGAAAATCTGAAATAAGCAAAAGGACTCTTGGGACTGGGGGGAAAGGGTAGGAGGGGGTGAGGGGTAAAAGACTACACATTGGGTGCCATGTACACTGCTTAAAGGGGCCCAGGAATATGTGCCTGCCTTCTAGTGTTGTCATGGGCTTCCGTGGGCTGATAGAGCTAAGCTACCCAGCATGGTGCCTGGCACCTAGGGAACACCAGCAGCCACTGCAATGCCCATCCACCACAACACAAATTACCCTGGAGTAGAAGAGCCACAGGAGTTAGAACCCACACTTCAGCTTGCAGTCCCCACCCTGCTGCCACTTGGTGGTTATAAGACTTCTGGGTGTCACCACCACATTGGAAATGAAGTTTTTTTCACCTGTAAAACTAGGCTGATTTTGAATTCCAGGGCTAGTCCTGAGGTTTGAGAGAATACATGTAAAGTCTTGTAAGTGGAGAAGTTCTATGCACATGCTGGGGATGACTACAGGACTGGCGTTTACTGATCGTTTACAGAGGTCTGGGCTTTGGGTTATGGTTTGGGATTTGACTGTCACTTGACAGCCACGGCTGCTGTGAATGACATTGTCCTAGATGTTTTGCATAACAGACTTGTCATCCTACAGATGAGGAAACTGAGGCTCAGAAAGGCTAAGCTGCTTAACCCGAAGTCACATAGCTACTAAAACCAAGTTAGGTTTTGAATCTAGACTTTTCTGACTCCAGAGCCCACCAGATCTTAACCTACTTGGAACCCACTGCTTGGTGGTGAATTATAACAAAATATTAACTGTGTTTCTAACCAAATGCAGTGCTTGAGATTTAAAAATTCACACACATGCCTCAAACATACAGATTCTGAAATGACTTCTTTGGGATTAAAGAAGTGTATGTTTCTGAAAGACTGCTGGAAAACATCACTTCTTTGGCTGTGACTTTATTGGGGCAGGCAGTGGTGAGCAAGGAGTGTGTCCCCGTGGACCAGTTCGTGGAGCACCTGCTTCCCAGCCTCCTGAGCCTCGCGTCAGATCCTGTGCCCAATGTGAGGGTTCTGCTAGCCAAGGCCCTAAGGCAGATGCTGTTGGCAAAGGGTAGGTGGAGCACTTTTTGGAACTCACACATTTCAGGTAAACTCCAGCAGTTGTTAAAGGCCCCAGCTAGATTTCCTCTAGGAAACTGAGGCAGTTTGTGTGACAGCATGCTTAAGATTTATTATGTAAATGAATATATTAACTTTTATGCATCATTTTATGTTATTTATAAAATGACTAAGGAAATGAATGTAATTTGGTCTTCACACTTAATAAACATATACTAAAATGCAAAATATTACATAGCTTTCCAGAAATGAGGGAAACTGATAAATTTTGAGTTATGACATGAAAGATTATGAAGCCTTAACTGCTATTACGTTTTAATGGTATTGTTTTGTGGTCAGTTAGAAAACATTTGTAACCCAACTAGTGGGTTATTTACACCTGGACAGGACTTAATAAAAGCTTTGTGTTTCTTGGATAGTTTATTTCTACACCACACATATAAGAAAATATCTTGAACTCTGCCCTACATGTACATGTCTTGCCACTTCACCCCCTGCCCCACCCTACCTGCAACCTGCTCCTGTTCCACACATTGCCATTTGCTTTGTGTTGCAGGAAAAAAAGATAGTTACTATAATTTTTAAAATATACATAACTGTTAAGAGTCCATCTTTAACATTTTAGAAATACTCTTTGATTAAGGCATTTTATCATTTGAAAGGACTTATATCTGTGTGTGTTCTGTGAAAAATGATTTATTGTCCTGACATGTGGCTAACAAAAAACAAAACCACGTGTGTTTTGAACACTGTTCATGGCATACCTAATTCAGACTCATGGTTTCTCTCTTTAGCGTATTTTAGAAATGCCGGTAACCCTCATCTTGAAGTCATTGAAGAGACCATCTTAGCATTGCAGTCAGACCGGGACCAAGATGTTTCCTTTTTTGCAGCCCTAGAACCAAAGCGGCGGAATATCATAGACACTGCTGTACTAGAAAAACAGAATTAACTACTCCGTGATGAGTTGCAATCTGATTGTTTCATGCTTGGCACATATGGCTTAAAGTAACTTGAAGGGGAGCTGATTGTATTATACCAGCTGGGGGAGATTCTGGAGCCTTTCATACTGTGTACTCTGACTGGCACCTTTTCCATCTGTACCCCGAAGGCACTGAACCTGATGGGGGCTTTTTCTGGATGGCTGGGCCATCCTGATCAAGCCTGATCAGGAAGTCTGTGGAAAGATTGCAGACCATGTAGCTAACTGGGCACTGGAGCCTCTGAACCACCAGGCTGCCTGCCAGCAAGTTATTTTCTCCATGGCAGACTGTATGATCTGAAGTCCCCCCAACCCTTGCCAGGTAGTTTATTAGAAGCTCTTAAGTCTTTCATAGACCTGCATATTTCCTTCCCTTATGATTTCCTATAAAATATAGTTTCTGGTGTTATGTTTTATTTTTAACTGAAATACTGTACATATGTAAATAACTCTTGACAGGAAGAAAATATATAAATGTAGTATTTGCCCCCTATCAGTGAGCTGAACAAATACATCATTTAAATCTGTGCTCCACTTTGAGTTGCTACAAATATAGTTCAGTTTGTTTACTTTTGAAAAATGTGATAAAGAAATCTAAAGAGTGATTGATGGCAGTCTTTCTAATATTGTGCCTTGGTCATAAACTACTTGGAACATTCCTCAGGCACTCACTCCTCCCCGCCTGACAGGAACTGTTTCCATGAAGATATGTGTTGGCCTTTGATAGAGGCATAAAGCTGAAAGATTTTTCATTTTTATATGGATATGCTCTCATATGTTTAAGAACTTGAGAGGGAAATGGACAACTGAGGTTTTTCCATTTTTATATGGATATGTTATATGTTTAAAAACTTGGGAGGTAAATTGATAACTGAGATGCATGGAATATTGACTTTATATCTAATGCTTTAGAATCTTAACCAAAAAAAAGGAAAACCCAGTTCTGATCAGAACCTGCCCACAAGTTCTACGCACCTATGACTTTGGGGGTCAAATTATATACTCTTTAAATTGACTTAAGTACACATCACTTAGATTTCATGCGTTTCAAATTTAGACTGAGAAATCTGCTCTAGAATTTAACCAGGTTTTTAAAATTAAGGTTAATTTCTAACCATTTGAACAAATTTTACATACATGTATGCACATGTCATTTTTCTTGTTTCTATTTTTATGTTCTCAAAGGTAGGATAAAGAAGGAAGGAGGAAACAGCTCATTTGGGGTTCAAGAGCTAGCTCTGCGCTAAGGGCTTGTAAGCTTTCTATTCTGCCCTTTGATCTTTTTCTTGTTTGTCTTGTCTTTATTTTTTAATGAAATTTTGAAGCTATGTATTGAATTTTCTGGTATACAGGATGTTACTCCCACCTCCAAATTCCATTTAACTGATTCTTTTAAAAGAAAGATAGTATATATACCATGCCAAAATAATAATAAAGTACGTATGTGAGAGCTGCAAATTATACCCCAGGGTAGCATTTAGGCAGCATCGGCAAAAAGTGAGTTAATAAATCGGAAGCTACATATTTAAAAAAAAAATAGGTCAATCCGTCGTGTGTTTAATACTTGCCTAAAGTAAATGGAGATACTGTTTTGCTTTGGTAACTGGCAATTTTTATTTTATTTTTTATTGCCTACAAATTGAGATTGTTTTGTTAAAATCTGTTGATCTAGCAGCAAGTAGAATTATTCAACTGGAATCTTGTATTCTATTCAGAGCTTAATTTTCCATTAAGGAAAAAAATGAGCTTCAGTTTGTGTTGTGATGTGTATAATTTGCATGCTGAATCACAACATGCTTGGATAGATGGTAGAGACTCTGGTAAATAATCTAACCTTTACAGTTTCAGTTTATGTGTTAACATTTTTCTATAATTTGCCTTTCCAATGCAGAGATATTTTTTATGGCTGTAATTTCTCTGTAAAAATAATTTTTAAGCTTACATTTTATTCTTTTTTTGCAACAACCGAGATTTTTCCAAGATTGTTCTGTTTCACCTTGCCCTCCTAGCTCCCGCCCCCATCACTTCAGTGCTTGTATTTTCTAATTATTCATGGGTGCGATGTTGAGTGTTTGTAATTTGACCACCACAGGTAGGCTTCCTGTTTACTTGAACACTCAGCCTCATCTCCGGTGAATAAATGGAAAAGCACAGATGGGTTTCTCCCAGGCAGAGCTCACTCCAAAGGTGTCTTCATAGAGCCAGCCCAGCCTTTGTCAAGGGGACGTTTCTCCACTTAAGTGTGTTTATCAGCGTCTTTCTCCCGCCAGTAATTCAAGAGCATTTTCAGAATTGATAGATTTTGATGCAGTTTTGCAAGTTTCCATGGAAGGCTGTCTCCCACTTCTGGGATTCACCCCCCCCAAGTCGGGACCAGATCTGCTGCAGGGAGTCATGTTTATGAAATGTTTGTTTTTTGTTTTTTGTTTTTTTATTCATTCATACTAGAAGTGTTTTTATAACGGAAGTCTGCACTTTAAAACTCTGCAGGCCATGCATGCAATGGTGATTTGGAGCCTTGTTCATGGGTAATTCCTCCAGGTGATTTATCCCAATTTCTGCAAAGATCCTATTTTAAACAGACACGGAGAAGTGGTAACCGTTTCCTAACAGCAGTAAGAATGCCCCTTTCGTTTGCCTGGTGAAAAGAACAGTCGTTAACAGCAGCCTGGAGGCTTCGAGGAGGTGGGGACCGGGCCTGAGCTCGGGACTGGGTCGTCAGAGCGTGGCCGCCCGGCGATGTCTCTGTATTTATCAATAAATCTCCCTGTTGTTTCGGGAAGGGCCTACGTCCTGTTCCATTATTTAAGAATCGTCTCCCGCGGCCACGTGAAACCGCGTCTTTGTTCATCGCGGAGCGGGAAAGGACTCCGGGACCCTTGGGCGCCGCCCGCCCGTCGGTCTCCCTGGGGGCTCGGGCGGCGGGCAGGGAG